ATATTATTTTGCAACTAATCGTCGAGATAAAACAGGGGTCAGTCCATTCAGTTCAGTTTAGTTCGACAAAAGTTTTACGACGCTGGCGCCTGCATAAGGTCATATTTAAAATCACACTTCCTTCCGCTCTCTCCATAGTCTGGACACTCCATTAGGACTTGTCTGATCTTAATTTTTAAAAATACCCCAAAAACCCCAACACCCCCCCCCCAAAAAAAAAGTTTTTGTTTGTTTGTTGTATTTTTTTCTAACCATGAGTGAAAATTATTTGCCTTTGTCTCTACACTTACTACATGAACCTCAACAACGCTACACGTCACGAGCCTAAGCAATATTCTACCAATCTACACAAACAGACAAACATCAGTACACACACATGTTCACTGTAGTTAAGATAACATGGACATGCATTCTTTACTTATTAATAATCATCAAATAGGAATGAGTCATGATCAGTTCCTTGGGTAGAGTATGTGTCAATACAGTTTTGTTTACTTTGGAGGAGGAATCTAATATATTATACACATATCTCTCTCTATCTCTCTCTCTTTCTCTTTCTGTATGCATATAACACACACACCACACACACACACAAAAACACACACAAATGCGTGTATATACATGTATATGGGTGTTTGTCAGTATATAAACGTTATATTCATATATGTGTAACTATACAATCACATTCATTACCCAACCCCCCCCCCTCCCAAATTAAAAAAAAAAAAGTTTCCACACACATTTCTCCACTACTGATAAACTACTTGGTCTCCACGCTATCACTTTTTTGTTTACCCGAGGTAAAAACAATAGTTCTATTTATAGACTTATCTGAAACCAGAGATAACATTCAAAAGATGGTCTCTTGCTTCGTCATCAAATACCAGGATAGAACAATGTGCAAAGTAGACAATACGCATAAAGGGTTAATTAATGATATCATACTGCTGTTGTGAAACACACTATGGGATTTCTCCATCCCTTTGTTATAAAAATTTTATCAATTAAAAATGCACGGGGCATTGCGCAAGCTAAACAATATATGTGGAGTTCACTGAAAAAAGGGGCATATTCACAAACTGAAAAGCGCGATCGCGAGGGTACCAATTTTTAACACTTATTGACTTATAACTGTATTTCTGTTCAGCTGCTGGTCGATTATTGCTGTGGGATTCTCCATTCAACAAACATATAAAAAAACCCACCAATCAAACAAATAAGAAGTTAAGAGTCCACAAGCTTTTAAAATTGACACCCTCAAAATTTCCAGTTTGTGACTAAGCCTGTTTTTTCAGTGGACTCTTCATGTATTAAGGGTTTACTAATAAATCATACTGTTGTTGTGCTGTCTCGATGTGAGAGTGCATGTAATTTCCCCTCAAAAAGTGCACTTCTACAAGAATGGGAACAGACGTGCAAGTCTACCACAGACAGTCTAAGACACTAGAGGGAGGTCTGATGTTACTTCTACCACAAAGCAAGTAACAAACAAACGAACAAACAAATGACAAACAAAGATTATAAGGCAGGGGGAGGACATCGAAGTGGAGAAAGGTGTGAGTGTGTGTGTGTGTGATGGGGAGAAAAGGGAGGGGGTGGGGGGGGAGACGGAAAAAAAAGGTAAGGGTGGAGAAGGGAAGGGGGGGGGTGGTAGTGGGTGGGAGGAGGGGGCAGCAGAGAATGACAGAGGGGACGAATGTACGGGAAGAAGAAACTAAAAAAGAGAGGAACTGTTCTAACATAGAGACACAAGCCGACCTCTGCCATGGCGTAGGGATGAGAGGGCGCCGCCTGTCCCAGCCAGCACCAGTGTGTGTGTGTGGGGGGAGAGAGAGAGGAGGGAGAGAAACATGCCAAACAAAAAAAAGTCAATAAAAAAAATTAAATTAAATATAGATGCTTTTAAACCCTTCCCTCCACCCTCTCCCACCCCCCCAAATTTTTTAACAATTTTAAATCGAACACAATTTTGATAATTTAGGAGGCAGTCTTATGACCATGCCTGTTAGGGCCAGCCTGGATTAATAGGGATACAACGACCCAGAAAAGAAAGATCGAGATTCATGATTGATACAAAATTTCCCCCACATAGGAATCAAACTCGAATCTCTTCCGTGTGGCGGCGAAGTGCCTGACTGCTACACCACAGACACCAGTTCGAATCTCAGCAATGGGGAGGCCATTAAGAAAGCAAACTGCTACAGGATGTGATAGTAAGTGTGTGTGTGTGGGGGGGGGGGGGGGGGGGGGGCGGGTTTCAAACCGATTTCACACTCTGCTTTTAAAATTTGTGACAATCATGTTCTCATAATAAAGGGTGCCTTGCATGGCTTTTATAAAACCCAAAACAACCCCCCCCCTAAAAAAATCCCCAACAAAAACCATCACATTGTAGAGGCTTCGATATTAAAGAAAAGGTTTATGGATCCAGCCCATTTAAACCTGCTACTGTCCTTCCTTATCTACTCTTGTCCCACAGAAAGAGTAACAAACCCCCCCCCCCTTCCCCAAAACAAAAAATACCCAACAAAATATTATCTTTCACATTGGGGTGTAAAAGAAACCAACCCAACCACCCATGAAGAAAGAAATCAAACAAATATTAAGGGTGTCAGGAGAAGGAGGAGAATGGAGAAAAAAGCAGAATCAACACATGAAAGAATTATGTTATAATTATAATCCAAATGTTCAATGTTCACACCCAGAGGTAGTCAGTATGCCTGTGATCGCATTCCAAAGTCTGTTGGATTTTTTTGCTTTAGTGCCAAGAGAGATGAGCAGACGTAGTAGTGTTGGTGACACGACAGCCGTGAAAACAGCACATGACAGACAAAAATAAAACGGACAAAAATATAATATAAAACTAACTAGAAATGCGGAAAGAGGACACCATGAATGAAAGACCCATCCTTTTACCCAACCTAACCACATTCAGAAAAGACTTGTCCCGTTTCCAAGAAATTTGTGATTTGATGAAAGATTCAAACCTAAAATGAGATTCTGAATCCATTTTGGAACACTGACAGAAAAACAAACTAAAACACAGCGACAAACATTTTAAAAAAGTGAACCTTACAATACAAGGTTGACAGATAAAACCACATAACAAAACATGTGAGTCTCCTTCACAGCAGAGCTGCCCACTCATCAAAACCAGTTTCTAACCACTTATTGAAGAAGCTTTCTGCTGCACTCAAGCTTAGGAAGGTGACTTTCCTTTATTTAGCCAAAGGCCTTATCCTGAGTAAGGAAAACTTTATTAAAATCAAAAACAATAAATGATCACGTGTGCAACAGCAGAAAATGCCTAATAATGCACACTACGCACACTCACAAACACCACACTAAACCACTCACACTAAAAAAAACATCCACATAAAACAACAACCGACCAAACAAGTTAACAACGGTGAAACGAAGAAGCAAATCACACGATGGTATACTGGACAAAACTCATAAAGCTTTTAACCGAGAAAAAAATGCAACATGAAAGAAAAAAAAAAAAAGGAAAAAGTTGAAAATGTCAAGAAAAATGATGTAGTAAAAACAAGAAAAATTTTAGGAGTGAGCAAAAACCCCCTTGCCTCTGACAGCTGTATGTGAGTTTGTACGGGTATTTTATACCTTCTCATCCTGATCATCATAAGCTTCGAAGTCACCAAACTTTGGCTTCCATTTTCTCACACTTACTTTGCCTCAGATACCAAGCAACCCCCGACCTCGTTCAATCGCAAACATCTCTACTTCCATTCAAGATAAATGGGTATTGTTGTCATAAAAAAACAAGACAAACAATTAAGCTTTCGGATGATACCATAACTCTGCATGCCCAAAAATTGACAAGAGCCTAAAACCTCCGCACCGTGACACACATGACAAAAACTGATGAAAAAAATGCTCATTTAACCAATTGTCTTCTACAGGATAACGACAAACCAGCCTCAATTCCACTATAAAGTTCCCTCACTTTTCCCTCACTTACCATTAAGCAGTCTTAAATAATCTTCAACCAATGACCAGCATAAACTGAGATAAACTGGTAGTAGCTTAGACTAGGAGGCAGGGTTGAGAATCCCCGACCCCTCAAACACTTCATCAACACTGAGGTACCATTTCAGGAACTGGGTTTTCTTCACTTATTAAAAAGTAAAGTTGTTCCTGCATCCGATCCGGACATTGGGGATTGCCTTGTTAGTGAGACAACTTCCAGGGCCTTCGGCATATTGTGGTAGGGTGGTCAGTTCCTTTTCACGCCGCCTTTACTTCCCCAACTCAAAGTCAGGTACCCATTACTGCTGGGTGGGCAGGACGGGGCGAAAAAAATGTGTCCGAACCGAGGCTCGAACCCGTACTTTCCATGTCGGAGACGAACGCACTAACCACTCTGCCACCGCACCCTCATTAAGCAGTGGAAAAATCAACCATTTCCCAAACAATATTTTTATGAATGAAAACACACTTAAGTTAAAATCAACGTATACCAATTTTCACTCTTACTCTTATATATGCCAATTAGTCAAAGCTGGATGTTTGGTATCTTTTTTTCCTGGCAACAAATTTGTTTACATGTTTGGATTAGGTTTCTACATTATATTTAGGGAATCGAACAATGGATTTCATACAATTCTGTCGTGGGCCAGATATAATTAATTGTTCACCTGGAAGGATGTGGCCCCCCTCCCCCCGGGATTGAGTTTGACACCTGTGCCTTACTTAGAGCAAAAACGTAACACCATCCTAAACCTTTGATAGTAATGATAGCCTCCTAGTTCTGCCCAGGTAACAACATCTTTCTCTCCCAACCTCACACATTCAAACCAATAAAAACAGCCGTCTTTGAAAGAAGTAGGAATCACCAGCAGTAAATTTCATTTTAAAAATAAGTTAAAAAATTTAAAACATTTTAAAAAATCCATACCAAACCACATACAGCAGTCAAAGGACAACTAATCGTGTGAGAGAGGAGAGGGGCAGGGGGGGGGGGGGGGGCGACGACAAACCTTGGTGACTCCGTCTCCCTCCTGGCACAAGCAGGAGAGCCGCGGTGGGCAGACAGAAACATTCAATCGTGAACAGGGTATGGTATGAAAAAACAAGCTTTCCCCCGCATCCTTTCAGAAATTTGTTTCTCACAATGAGGCACGCATAAAGAAACAACATATTCACAAATTCACACAAACACACACACAAAAACCCCACACACACCAGACACTGAGCCCTGGCCGATACATCGTTCATCACACTCCTTTTTATTTTTACACTACTACCAATGTGTGCCCTTATAAGGACAACATTTCTAAAAAGGTACAAGTATTGGAATTTTTTAAAGGGTCCTTTTTACTTCCTTTTTGTTCTTTCTATTCAAATTCCCTGTGCAAATCAAGCACAAGGCAAAAAAAATAATTTTTAAATTCTTTTTTGGGGGTATGGAAAAACAAACAAACGGGAGGCACCCAATCAGTGCATGTGATTGTTTCAAGAAAAGGCTGAGAAAGCAATTGGTAGGAACAAATGGAAAAATGTGCTACTTAATAAAACAAACATATCTGATGAAATTTTTATTGGAAGTTTTGGACAACAAAAGATTTAGGAGTCTCATACCCTACCTTTGTTTTTTTTATTTTTTATTTATGTTTTTAAAAAAAAGAAGTAAAATGCCATAGTGGTTAAAAAATGTGTGAGGGAGTGTTGGACATTGCAGTCAGATACAACACGTGGTTAGAAGTCCAAGTATAAAAAAATAGCATGGTCAAAAACTTACCTAGCTTGTAAAATCTCTACGCCTAAGCATACTCTAAGAGTCATAAAATTTCAAAGGTCGCCAAGAGAAACTTGCTCTACTTTTTTGTTAATTTACGAAAAAGAAAACAAAGAAGACCCCCCACCCTCACCCCCCTCCCAAAACATCTGGTGTTACGATTTTTCAAAAAAAGGCTATGAAAACAAAAAACAAAACGAATAAAAACAAAACAAAAAGAGTTGAGAATTTTACCGGTACCTGACTCTGTGAAGTGGCAGATTTTGCCTTCCTTAGGCGACTCTTGCACGCATCCAAATCCAAACGTTTGGTTTCCAGAATCTTTTTCTCTTTCTGTGGGAAACACAAAACATACACCGACATAAAATGCCAAAATACTGTCATATCTCTAGAAGTCAGTTTTCCTGTTCTGTAAAATAAATTATCAATATCAGAGAGATGAACTAACATTCACATTTTGATACAAAAGGGCAAGAGAGAATGAAACCAAAAATATAACTGTTCTGAATTTTTTTTTTTTTTTAATCTGCACTTTTCTTTAATCCCCTCTCTTTAAAAAAGGAATGAACATCCAAATTTTATCGATCAGTTAAGGAGAACAATTACACCCCCCCCCCCCCCCCCACAGTAATTATATTTGAACCTATTGTAAAACTTAAAAATTAGAAATATACAAAAATTTACAGCAATACGAAAATAGGACTATTTCCATGGAACAGCTCAAAGACAGAAATACACGATCGAAACTTGAGGAGAAAAGTGGTTGTCTGAGACAGATGGACGTCATAGACAGTCTCATTAGAATACTTTGAAAAATACAAAAGGGAAGAGGATGGTTGTCGTTTGCACTGGTAACTGTGTCGGACAAAGGACCGTTAGAGCAAGTTTGACCGTACTTCCTTCCACTGACAAATCCTATTATATTTGTGACCTCAAGAATCAGAATCATAGTGGATCACTTACCAGAATGGTCTTCATGTCTCCCTCCAGGAAATTGGACAACGGCTGCAGGAAGTTGTTGGCTGTGCTGGTCACAAAGTCTCGCTCGGCGTTCCCGATCTGGATCTGAGCCTGACCACATTTGACCAGAGCATTGCCTGCAGGACGACAGAATAGTTATTAGAAAATCTTAAACAAATGAAATTTAAGTCATTACCAGTTATTCTCACAATGGCACATACAAAGAAACAACATATCTAAAAATTCACACACGCACACACACATACACACCAGACTCTGAACCCTGGCCAATACATCTTTCATCACACTCCTCCAGTTGCAATCAACTATCCTATACATGCTTTCCCTAAAAGAGACACAATTTCCTCTGCACCCTAATAAAAGTAACTTCTAACCTGTTGTAAAACTGTCAAAACTGTACTGGAAGAAAAAAGAAATTTAATAAGCATTTCCTTAACAGCTACAAGCATTACTCCTTCCCCTTTTTCTGGTCAAATTATTTAGAAAAATCGAGAGTATACCACTAAAATGATTCCTTGATCCTTCCTACTCGAGAACCGACCACTGCAATAAACCCATTACATAACTTGTACGAGCACTCTCAATAGAGCATGAAAATCTATCATCTATCATCATTTCCCTGAACTTTCTATAAACTGACCACGTCGGTGGTGGCCGGGTGCTCTAACGTAGTTTGCTCTTTCTTTCCTATTAAACATCTATCACCCTTATCGCTCCTTCTTCTTTTCTTTACATGTTACTCTCTAGTAACACCTTTAATCTTCAGCACCTATAAGACCTGTTTGTGCTGCAAGTGCTGTAAAACTCTTACTAAGACTCAAAAAACTAAAACTGACCATAAGGAGTGCCTGGTCCAAACTCATTGCCAGCTTCCACCATGGCGTTGCCCAGAATCTCGTACTGGGTGATGCGGTCTTTCTTCTTTTTGTCAAGTTTCTCATACAGCAGGTCTTCCATTCTTTGGTCTGGGAAAATTATAGGGAATACAAAAAAGGTACACCAAGACAAACAAAACCATCGAAAATTATAATAAAATACATAGATAACTACAAGCTAGAACTCTGAATATAGCCCCCCCCCCCCCAAAAAAAAAAATAAAAAATTTTTAAATAAATAAATAAAATAAATAAATAAATTTAAAAAAAAAATAAAATAAAAACAACAACAAAAATTTCAAGAACAATAGCTAAAAAGGTTACACTAGACTGATAAATAAAGGAGTTAAAATGATGCATCCTCTAAAGTGTGAACCCAACAACGACCAAGATTAAAATATTTCATTCATAACTAAAGCAACACAATTTAAAAAACATAGAGAAAAAGGATGCCATTAAAAAAACTGTGAAGTTACCATCAGTATTTTTTAAACAAAAGCATTCCTTTGCTGGGAAAATAAATCTTTGCAATATAATACTAGCTATACTTACTTTAAAAGAGACCTCTAGATATTACACAATCCAATTTTTCTAACAAAAAAAAACCCACAAAAGAAACCTGAGATCATCAATAGAAAAAGACAAAAGTGACTGCGACTCATAATATCTTTGAAAATTACACCCCCACCCCCCCCCCCATCCCCTCCTGTAGTAAACAAAAGATGCCAGTGCAATGCATTTCTTTTAAGGTGAGTTCATGGTTTTCCTTTCAAAGACAAATATCTGAATTTGAGGTGCCAACAGAACACAAGTGCTGGAAATGAGACCACCTTTACAGCTGAAACTCATTTTTAAAATTCCACCAAAATTCTTTAAAATACTCACTTGGATTTGGCTGAAGAAGTGCATCTGTCTGCCGTAAAAGTTGCTCTGTCCATAATTTGGTCTTGTCTGATCTTTGCATTAAGTTTTCAAAGTGAGCATCCAACTCTGTCTTTTCTGCGGTGCCAAGTTTTTCCTCCGTGAACTGCCAATAAAAAAGGTCCCATGACATACTTTTAGTCTACGAACTGGAAAATAGATCTTTCATAAAATAAAACAAGAGATCATGGGGCTTTCATTCATGGTCTAGAGGTACGGTGTTTGCCTCTCAGTCGAAAGGGTCCCAGGATCGAAACCTGCCAGGGACGAAAATATTTTTTGTTCTTTTATATAATTTTCTCCATCATGTCCGCCTTTCCTATAAAATCTAGTCCTGATCAGTCATTTACTTTCCTCTCCACATTCAAACCCCTCCCTTATGATATTCCCTGCTCCTTCTTTTACAGCCTTCTTAGGATAGGATATCGATTGCCTTCTCAGAAAAAAGGGTGAAAAATCTAAGAGGTCCTGTGTGTGTTCAAGATCCATGCTTTTTGAATTTTTTTTTAAGTACTTCAATTTAGAGCAAACCTCGCTACTTCCTTTCGGCCGGTGGCTGTATGCATTATCAATAGAATAAACAATATGCCTTTAGGTTAGATAGTTTTATTATACGGGGTGCCCACTACAGCTGAGATCTGCCGATTGCCCGACTCGATCGGCTCAAAAACAAACTTGTTTGTTTTCAGTTTCAGGCGATCGAGTTGGGCAATCGGCCCGATCCAGCCGTAGTGGGCACCCCCGTATAAGGTGCATTTAAAATCCACTTGACTTTGACACTTGTGAAGTCGTTCGTTCAGTCTCCCGATGGCTCACTCCAATGACTGGGTTTTTTTACAGGGTGAGAGACAGAGAGATTCTGCCCAGAGACCATCTTTTTTCTTAATTAAATTAAGTCTTTTCTAACGCCATCAATCTATACTAGAATCTAGATCTATACTGTACTACACTACTGTACTATTCTTTTATACTCTACTTAATCTCTACTCTCTAACTACCCTTTCTACTCACTAACTGTAACAACATTACTACACACACATAGATGATAGAAGAATAGGTGAGTAGGCCAAGATTTAGATCTAACTAAATCACTGGGATTATAAATAATATTTCGAGAGGATGAGTCAGTTAGTCGGCACTGTTGAGAAGCCCAAGTTCCACTGGAGGTCCGTGCAACTGTTGGGAAAACTGGCAATAACTGTGTGTTTACGGTAGCAGATCACACAACAGTAAGTACAGAGAGAGGAGGCACGGGAGGGTGGGCGGCGGTCAGCAGTGAACAATGCACGACAATCGCCCATTGCTAACTAAAAATACATGTAAATTTACATACCTGGACAGCTCTGTTAAAAACGGTGGAAGCCCCACCGGCGATTTTCTTGAACCGTGCATTCATTGAGTTAAGATCCATAGTTGATTCTCAAAAAGCTCAAAGTGTAGTGTAACTGAAAGACGGAGTTGGAAGATAGCGATTTCGATCAATGGTCCTTTGACGTTAACTGTTCCGCGTACTCCGAGGTGAATTATTAAATGCCACCATTGTTAGAATTGTTAATCATGTCGAATATTTAGCATTTTGTACTTTCATATTCTAATGAAATTCCAATAATAAGAGAAACCAAACCATCTAGGGTGTCTTATCTTCTTAAAAAAATTAAAGGTAATATACTTTTATTGCGGAGCTATGAAGTTGCCATGAAGTTGTTTCAAAATGGCGGACAGTATACACAATCAAGTCCATTGCAGACTGCCGTCGAATTAGGAAGGATACGAGACCGTTCCTCGAACGAGGACTGTCGTTGGATGGTTTCTGCCTGCTTCAATTATTGGAGATTAAATGTAAAAAGACTGTTTTTCAATGGTATCGTTCAGTCTCCCCCTCCCCCCGGTTGTGCCGATGCTAAGGCTGGGGCTGGCTGGCTGGCTCAATATTAAATATAAAATATTAATTATTATATTATTATTATGGAATACTGTCAAGTCAAGGCTATACACCGCCACTACTACTACTACTACTACTACTACTACTACTACTACTACTACTACTACTACTACTACTGCTACTACTACTACTACTACTACTACTACTACTACTACTACTACTACTGCTGCTGCTGCTGCCGCAGAAGGATTTCTGTAACGAGCGACCACCCCATCAAACACAATAAAGAATTAGATCAGGCCTAACCTTAACCCTAACCCTAACCCTAACCCTACCTCTACCCCTACCCCTAGATCTACCCCTTCCCCCAGCCCTCAATTCTGCTCTGTCTCATGGTGGTCGTTCGTTATGGAAGTCCTCCTGCTGCTGCTGCTACTACTTTTGCTGTTGCTCCTGCCTATACTACTCGAGATCTGAGCTACTACTACTGTAGTAGATATAAGTAGGCCTAGTGAATATAGTAATTGTAAAGTTCAAGTCTGTTTTATTAGTAGGTTAGACTTTGTAGCTTAACTAAGGTTACTATATATACAGGTAGAAGGAGTCCGGACAGCTGCAACTGTAGTGATATCAAAATTAACAACTTGTGAAAGACAAACAAAAGTATTTAGATGTTACAAGAGCAGCTTGTATAATAATGGATCATAATGAATCATATAGGCTATACAGCAATGAAGCCAGAATTAAATAGATAAACATCATTATGTTATTATTTATGGGACCTGAGCTTTGTGTGGACTGTCAGATGTGGTTTTACACTCCAGTGTGCGTTTATTTGCTTAGAACGTTAACGGTAGTTATACTCAGGTGGGTGCTTGAATCATCTGGGTTAAATTTGATGGCGTTTATTTTGTTTAACAGTACCTGGGTTTATGTAGAAGTGATATTATAGTATTTATATATAGATTCCATATGACCTGCTACTGCTGTTGATACAATGGTCATGCTGTATGCCTGACATATTAAGTAGCTGGAAAAATATGTCACTAAATAGGCACTATGAAAATCTTATTTTATATGACTGTATTGTTGACTTTTCATTTCCCAGTATCATGAAGAAATGTGGACAAATATAGTGTTTCAAAATGATTTCATGTTCAAAATAAGTTTGCTACTTGTATTTGATTTTGCTGACATTCACTTTTAAATCTATAACATTTTTTTTTAAAGAAAGAATATTTCAAGAAGGGAATGTAATAATAAAAATTGAAATTAATAAAACATAAAAGAATAAATTTTAATGTTATGATGTTTTTCTTTCAGATAAACTTGGCTAGCATTCGGATGGATCTGAAATCTTGAGGTGGCACAACCCCTTCTTCTCTCTTTGCAATTATGCAGAAGTGTTTGGACGAAACATCCTGTGGATCTCTTTGTCAGCATCCAAGTTGTTGGGCCTCCCAACAGCGCCAAGAAAAAGGAATTCCTCGAGTTTTGCCCCCTATACAATTAGACTCCGATTCCTCTGATGATGAAATTTGTGAGTTGTTAGTGAGGCTGTGTTTGTTATCAATAAATTTCTTCTTACAATCCTACTTTAGTATTTTTTAAATTTTTATAGTCGAATGCTCATTTTAGAATTTTGTTCGTAGCATGGTGAAACAACAATTTTTTTGGTTTTGTTTCATTTCTCGTTTCACTGAGTTTCTCTATTTGATCTTGTAGCTTTGTTCTTTTTTGTTGTCTTTGTGATTAATTGATAAATACAGGTAGTTTGATAATTGTTTTACAAATATGTGTCGTCCGTCTTATAATTTGTCCTGTAATTGACAGCTCTTTATACTTTTTCCTACAAAATATTTTTTATCTTTTTAAAAAAAATTCTTTGAACAGAAACTTTATTTAGTATCTTTGCATTTCTTTGAAATATGTTTTTGACTGAAATTTTTGTCTTCCCAGGCTTACCAACTCAAAGTGTTTGCAATTTACTGTCCGAGTATGGAGACAGTGGAAGTGACCGCTACCCTCTGTCAACCGGAGGACGGCCGTCGCACCAGTGGGACACGCCACTCCACTCAGCCACTAGGAGCGTCAAGTCTCTGGATACTGGGTATAAGTTCACATAGGCGTCTTCTGAGTCCTGCTCCCCCCCTTGATGCTTGAGTTCTGCTTCCTCCTCCCCCCTCCCCCCCACCCCCCACCCACCCTGCCACTGCTCAATCCCCTTCCCCCCTTTCCTTTCCACCTAATACTGATTTTCTTGACATTTAAATGATCCACTTGAATGTTCCGTTTCCCTCTTAACCACTTCGTCACAGCTCCAGTGAACCATACGTCCAACACTGTGTGACCAGATGCTGTCCTCCTGTACAATATACGTCCTAAAATCAGCCAATTATGGCAATCGCATGGACCTTACTCCGTACACCGTACGGGATTTTATATTTGCCCTACAATAGCTTTTTGACGCTCTAGCTAGCAAAAATTGGGTGCAGTAAAAGTTGGAAGAAACCATGCATCATGGAGGGGTTACGACTTCAGTTTTAATGCAAATGGAAGTTAAATAAGTGCAAGGAAGGGAGGCACTGATGCAAAACGGGGACTTAGGTGTAAAAGATACAAAGTCACATTTCGATGGGTTTGCAAATGGTCACGACTGTACAGTTACGCTGGATGCCTTTGCTCCAAAACCCTCCTTTTGCAGACAAAAGTTTCCTGTCTAAGGTGGCCCATGTTGGAGAATGAAATCAAAATACAATGTGGTTAATGTCTGCTGAATCAGCAGCATTTCTTACGCAGTAAAGTTTGTAGAAATGTTCTGTAAAACGTATCTTTTTCACAGATGTCTATTTCATTTTTAAAAAATCAAGGCAGTCTTTGTGGAATAATCCGATTATATTGAATGATTTACAATCTTTCTACTTTTCATCTCTAGGGAATGTTGTTCTCCGTTACTTCTTTTTCAATCTTAAATTTTCTTCAATCAATCTCAACTTGCGAAAATCAAGACAATTATAATTACAATTAAATTACAATATAATTAAAGGAAGCAGATACAGAGCCGCCTCTCTTTAACGACCTTCCATATAACGACATCCTCTGTTTAGCAACATAATCCCTAAGTCCCGATTTTTTCTTTTTATATCACTAGTAATTTTTGGTTGCCTCTCTATAACGACAACTCATTTTAGCGACATTTTTTGTCTGGTCCCGACGATGTCGTTATAGAGAGGCTGCACTTTGTATTGTATAAACCCTCTGATTTCCTGTGACTTTCTCCCCAGACTGAAGCTAGGCGTTCCTCACAACACCAAGACAAGTCTGCCCAGGACCAGGGGATTCCACAAAAGAAACCCGAGACTGCGACTGGTAGAGGTACAGGAGGTGTTTGACCGAGAGGATTTGGCTGGTCAGTGGGAGGAGACTTTTGTCACTCGGCCTTACTACGTGTGGATGCCGAACCCTCATCAGTCCAAGCTCTCTCACAGGTACAGTATTTTCTCTTTTCTAAAAAAATGTTATTTTGGTAAGTGTTTTACTGTGCTTGCAACTGCATAAGGTCATATGAGCATGTGGGACACATTAAACATTTTCAGTCGGTAGGAAATTTTGAATTTTGCTTTGGTGGTGGCTAAAGCCTACTCTTATTGATTTTGGACCACCAAGGGATCTTTAAAGTGGGCAACGGACCTCTGAAATTTTTCGCCCTTGTCCGAGAAAGCTTGGTGTAGATCTTTCCTACCATAAGATTAGGGGTTTGGCTGAAAGACGGAGTATTTTCTCAGCAATGCTGTTCCTTTGTCAACTTTTGTGTAAAGATACTTTAACTCTTTGTTAGCTCTTCAGGACTTGACTTCACCTTTACCCCTATGTGTCGAAGCAATTTGGTGGTGGAAAATTTATGTTAAAAAAATGGAATCTTTTATGTAGAGCCGATCAGACATTGCTCTACAGAGCCCGCGCAGGACACTTACACACCAACAAGCACATAAACAGAATCAACCCCATGTGGAAACCCCATTGTAGACACTGTGACTACCACGGGGAGACCGTTGAACATCTTCTCCTTCACTGCCCAAACCTAGCAGTTCTTCGACGCAAGCTCCTACACACACATACAGACTTACAAAGCCTGCTCTACTCTGGCGTTGACCGGATGACAAGGACATGTGGTTACTTGAGGGAGGCATTGCGCTGCCAAGAGCGAAATGCTCACAGCTAAAGGGATTTGAAAACAACAACAACAACAACATGTTAAAAAAATGTCAGTGCTCGGTCGTGCCTTAAACATCTAGAAATTAGTACATACTTAAACTTTGAAAAACATTATAAGACAATGAGCTATTTTGCTATTTACCAGTAGGTTTTAACAATGATGTAATACTAAAATTTGTGTGATGAATTTTTGATACATGGAACAGTTTTTTGTTAGCAGTGTTTGGAGTGTGGATTTTCACAGATTTTTTTGCAGATTTGAATACTACCTCTGGAAAAAATTCATTAAAAATGTTCTAGTACGTTCAATAGAAAGTCAGTTCTCAAATTTGTAGATGTATTGTTTGCCAAGATGAATGCAAAAAAACAATTTGTTTCCTTGAAAAATAAGTGCGGTATTAATTACGTAAGACATGTCAACAAAATCCAATATGGCCGGCGTATCCATGGAAGCAATTTTTTTTCTCAAATTTGATTGAGGATTTTAAGACTCCTTACTATGCTTGTTATATGTGTGAAATTTGGTAACATTTTATTCACTAATAAGCGAGATAGCCTTCAGTTACACCCCCCCCCCCCCCCCCTTAATGTGTCATAACTTCTGCTTTGGATTGGTAGGGCAAGAGGTTCTCTCGGAAAGACAAATCATCCCGTACTCATGAAAGATCTGACCTCAACAATGGTGCCCCCAGAGGTGGAGCATCAACGCGAGGAAACTGTCTTAGTAAGGGAAAACCTTGTTTGTCGGTGATAGTAAGCCTTTGTCAAGGCAGAAGAAATTGTTGTTTTTTCTTTCAAAGTATTTCGTTGGACCCTGTCTTTTTTCTTTCTCTGAATATCACCTTCTGTCTTTTTTTTATATATTTGTGTTTGATTTTCTCTGTCTCTGTCTGCCTGCCTGCCTGTTTGTCTGTCTGTCTGTCTGTCTGTCTGTCTGTCTGTCTGTCTGTCTGTCTGTCTGTCCGTCTGTCTGTCTGTCTGCCTACCTGCCTGTCTATCTGTCTGTTTAACACTCTGTCTTTCTTTTTTAAATGAAATTAATATGGGCGTTCTCCTGAATTATATAAACAACGGCTTTGATAAGAAAATTCAGATTTGATTTTTTAAAATTCAGCTTAGTTTCAGAATGAAGCACAGTAAGTGTACTGTACCCAAGAGTTTATAAATGCACCTATTTAATCTGAATTCCATAAGAACCTATCGATTGTAGATAGTATTGATGTATCATTCATTAATGGAAATGCAACTGACTGCAAAAAGATAACATCCGAAAAGAAGGATAATGTCACACAAAATGTAGAGTGGGAAAATTCTGTGAACTTGAAATGTGTATCTATCTATTGATTTCTGTAAAAGTCTTTTTGGAGGACTTTTTACGATGGGGAAAAATTTGTAATATAATAAAATTACACATTTTGTGTTTCAGATTTTACAGTAAATATTGCATATCTCATTTGTTTTTTTGTTGTTGTTTTTTCAGTTTGATGAATTTCCAGTACTCAAGGTATGCCTTGTTTATTTTTTGTCTCCTATGTATTCTATCTCGTTCTATCAGTACCTAGTTTTGAGAAATTCGACGTAAAAATTTTTGAGTTTCACAACATGGTAAAGCTTTTTCGAATGCAATTGTTTGCATATCTTGAAGACAACTCTGAATATTCTTACGATTTTGAAGGAGTAGATAGATCATTTGGTTTCTGACCTCATGATCTTATAGGTAACTCAAAACTACCAAAAATTTCAGGTAGAACTTTGTAATTCTGAGGCAGAGACTTGTCTGAGATTACCATCATTTTTCCCCTCAACAATGAGTGGTGTTCATGGACAGGATCAGCTGCTATTGTTGTTGTTAACGATCCAGTTGCATCTGAGCATTAACTCTTCTGCATGATGCCTATCCATGATAGCTGCATGTCTGTTCTAATTGTTGTCTTGAGGAGTAAAGGCAGTTAGATGTGTGGGGTAGCTTGGGAAGAAAACATCCCCTCAAATCGGGTTAGTTTTCTACAGAAGAACAGATGATATTCCACTGTCTCTGAGGGGTAGTCACATAGTGGGTAGGCAGGAGACTGCTTTACGCCAATTCGGTTGAGATGTTGATTGAGGGGTACATGTTGTGTTCTAGGTTGGAAGATTATGGATTATCAGCTGTATCTGCTATTTCGCTGTGGTGGAAGTATTCTTTCATTCAGCTCTCTACTACAAATGGATGTTGTTATCAATCCAGGCTACAATTGAATAAGTACCAGTATAATTTGTGGTGTTATTGTTAGGCTCTTTGCTGCTGCACATAGAAGTTGTGAGTTCAGTCCTTGCTTGGAGAAGTTATTTCAGTCTCCCCATCTGTCTGCTGGGATGTTGTGTCCTATTTAGCCCTAGTTGGCCCTGACAGACAGCTCTGAATTAGCTAGCCTTCTGAATGAACTAAATTGTGTTGATTGGGATGTAAATAAAACAGTAAAATTTATTGCAGGCTTGATTATTTGAAGGGTGAACACCAGTCGTGGTGCTGCAGAAGTGGAAAAAATAATTGTTTATTCCCCTGATCCAATCTATTCCTTGTCCTACTTCTTATCAGTAAATTGAAATTTAGATCATATCCATGGACCAGATGGGAGGTTGATGGGGCCTCTGATGTAGTTTGCTCTTTCTCTCCTATCTAACATCTATTGTCCTGATCTCTCCTGTTAACTTTCTTTGTATGTGATATTTCGGTGCCGAAAAGAAGCTGCATGAAGACAACCTTGAGATCATCTTAAGCTAAATTGACCGTCTGCATAGAGGAAAAGAGCCATATATATAAATGTGTAATATTATTATGTTCCCTAGAAAAGACAACTGCGCAGCAAGTCCCCTCCCATGAAGCCGTTACACTACCTGAAGGCTCCTCAAGGAACGACATCTGCGGATATCAGCATCGATTCTGAGGGGTAAGTTGGAGGAAGCGCAGGCAGAATTATCCAAGACGACCACCCTTGTCGAGCAAAAAAGTGCTTGTCTAATACTCAGGGCCAATTGGGGGATCGGTCCTCTAGTACAAACTGATTGTCTGACCTGTGGCCAGAGAACAAAAGCATTTTGCGACCTCAGTGCTTTCTTGTCGTATCTCCATTTTTTTTTTTACAGTGAAAATGTGACTTCTTCTTTAGCTCACTCTTTGTTATAAACTGTTTTTACTGTTATTTAAAAATGGAGATACGACAAGAAAGTACAGAGGTTGCGATTTGTTTTTGAGGTGGCAAGTCGGGCGATCGGTTTGTGCCATGATGGTCGCTTTGCGCCCTCAATCTGGCTAGCCCTGCCTACCAAACCAAACCGAACAGAACCAAACCGATCGTGCCAATGGGCACTGGGTATTAGACAGATGGATGTTGTGGGCAGTGTTATTTTGGATTTTTTATAAACTCAGGTCGGAGGGGAAGTAGGGAGTGGTTGTTTGTTCAGATTACTTGTCTTGGACAGATGGTGGTAAGAGTAGGTTTGGTTGTAATCTCTCTTATCACTACTGTATGCGTTGGTGTTGTGATGAGTTGGACAAGCTGCTGTGTTTATATGCGTTTCTATAAATCGGGAATTCTGGGAGTTACTTGGCTCTCAAAGTTTTACCTAAATGTTTTCCAAACCTCCCATTCCGTTCATGCTTTACATTTTAGATTTTTCTCAGAGTGTTGAACAGGGACTGGCTTCTGTAAATGTAACTAAATAGAAATTGTTTCCTGAAAGAGGCCAAAGTGTTGTTTAGCTAAAGAGGTAGTTTTTTTTTGGGGGGGGGGTACATTCAGGTGGGGGAAGGGTGGTGGGGAGTGGGAAGGGGGATGAACGCTTTGCACTGCTTGTCAAAATATTTGTGCATACCAAAAATTAAATTGTATAACTAAGTTTATACATGTTTTTCTCTGGTTGATATTTCAGCACAGAATGTCAGCAAGCTGTTTAATTATTTTAAGGCCACAAAGCAAATATTTGTTTTGGAGAGAGAAAAAAACAACAACTGTTTTTTCATACTTGTGGTGCTTATAGGGCCTATATCTTTTCTGACTTTTTTCATCATTTAGAACGGGAATTCCAACAAAATATTTCTCTAGCACATGCAACAGATATTGCAGATTAAGAAACTACCGGTACAATGAAAAAAAAAAGTGTTAACAATGTTTGGCTTACTACATCTGAATGGCTCACTGACAATATATTGTCATTGGTGTTTTCCTGATAGGAGTAAATTCGGAGGACTTGTTTCGCCTTTGTAGAACAGTTTATATCATCATCATCTTCCAGTGCCAGGTCTGTGGCTTACATTGGCAATCATGGTTCTCCTTTCATTCCTTTGCTCAGATGCTCTTAAAAAAGCTATGTTTTCCTGATCTTTCCATGTTACCCATTTGTTTAGGTTCCCTAAGTAGGTTGTTCTGGGCCTACTCCTGCCTCACTTGCCCTCGATATTGCCAGTGAGAGCTAGATGTTCAAGACCCTTATGTCTATTGAGGTGTCCCAAGAACTGCATTTGTCGTTTCATGATTGTTTGTAACAGTGAGCGTCCCACATGGGCTTCATCAAGCACTACCTCATTTGATTTCTTTTCCTTCCACGATATTCTCAGCAGTGTCCTAAGAAACCACATTTCTGTTGCTTCTATTTTATTTTCACTGTCCTTGGTGATGTCCAGCATTTACAGCCATATATAGAAGGGTTGACCAAACATAGCATTTTAGTTTACATCATAATTGGGTTGTTTTTTGGAACATATTTGCTCTAACTAATACTGCCGTTTTATCTCTGTCCATGTGATATAAGAAGCTCTCCCAGTTACAGCAAAGACATCATGATGCAGTCGGTGAACAAATACAGGTTCTGAAACGGCCAAGTTCTTTCCTGTAGACATGTAGAGTGTAGAGTGTAGAGCAATGCTAGTTGAGGGTAGTCTTAAGCTTTTCCTTGAGCTATAGATCTGAGGCAGCTTTCACAACAGATCGTTGCAGAAAGTTTGTTTTCTTGAACCATTTTTAAGGTTTTTAATGGAGATGCTGCTTTATGTTTTGGTACTGGAAGTTTTTGCCTTGAGTCTTTTGGGGTTTTTAAAAATTGTGAAGTGTGCTGACAAAATGAGTTACTTCTCGGATTCGGGCCCTATGGAAATCGATACGTTTTGCTTATGGGTGAAGTTTTTACAGTTTATAAGTATGAAATAATAAAAGGCATGTTATACTTAAAGAATAGGGCATCAATAGGAAATGTACAAATTTGACCCTAGCATCGATTTTTGGCCAATATCTCATTTTTTGTGGATTGAGAGAAGGAATTTATTCATTTTATCAGCCCTTTTCACAATTGCTGATGGTTTTAATTTTCAATAGAAAGTTCCTATTTGTTGTCGGTCTTTCTTTTTGTCTTTTGGCAAGCTTATAATGTCTTATTCATAACCTTTAAAGAGTTAATTTTCAATCAGAATAGCGGATTTTTAAAAAAATGTTTATTACCTCTTAATGTCTGCTTGAAAATTCTGATAATGCTGTTTTAAAAACAAATGAAAAGGCATATAGATGTGGTATCCATGCTTCTTTGCTGTTAGTCTTTTTTTTTTTTGCTTTTGCTTTTTTCTCCCTTTTTTAGATAAAAATTGGTTATGGTATTACTTGAATATTGGCGTCCGTGGTGTTGCAGTTAAGCACTTCAACATTAGAAGTAGCAGATGAGAGTTTGAGTCCCATTTGGGACGAATGAATGTCCCTCTTAGACTATGTTGACCTTGTCACGCAGTCCTTAAGTAAGCAGCCTGTCCCCTAAATGACCTAAATTGTGTTGATGTTGGGGAGG